TTTAAAAATATTGATATAGAAGCTAATAGGGACAGTAATTATGACAAAAGAAATTAATTTTAATTATATCACATGAAAAGTTCCATTTGGTTAAAAAAACGTTTTATGTAAAATTTACATTCCTATTTCAATGCTTACTGAAATTTAATTAAGGTAATCGAAATTAATTAAAAAAGCAGATTTATTAAAATTAGAAATTGTAAAGTAAGTGGCAAACATTTTCATGTAATCAAAATTTAATATAATTTGAAACTTACTGAAATTCAATATTTGGACGGGAAATGAATGAACAACTTGTTAGAAGTTTATTCGCAAATATTCTCTTTAATATTCCTACATTTTCAAACATTAATACTCTTATATCTCGTATTATTAATAATTATTGATTAAAAAAACATTACGAGTGCCATTATATATATAATATAAATGTATATTTGGCTCGTATTTATACGAGCGTAGCATACACACAATATACACATAACACACGCATACACACAACACACACGCATACACATGGAGAACATGTCAAAGATATGTAACACAGAAATGAGAATGTATCTTGAATGTGCTATGACTGCTTTTTTTTAGATTTATTTGTTATAAAAATGAGATACGTTTATCGAAGTATAAAACATGTTTTATAACTTAAGCCTACGTGTATCAGATGTCGTGCGCATACCAGGTGATCAAAAACATTAATTTCATAACAAATTTATTAAGCATTATTATGAAGGTCTTGTACGTTTGCATATGTCAAATTCTGATGGATATAACGAGAAATATAGCGATTTATAAAATTAATAATAAACAATACATAAGACTATGAAAATGTACGGAAGCTTCATAACAATGCTTTTCAAATTTAACATTTAATACAGGTATATTTAAATTAGTAAAACCAATACAAAAAAGATTGCACAGAAAGGTGAAATACAATTATATAAATTTGTTGTGCATGTATTTAAAAAACAGAAAACTTTAAACATAAATATGCATTCTATAAAACTATTATAAATTGATTAT